TTGCAAAAAGCTGCTATTTCAAAATATCTGCTATAGCTGCTATATCAAAACTTAAAGCAGGGAATGATAGCATTTCTTCTGTAGGTATGGCTGCTTCAGGCCACTGAGGTCAGAACCAGTTTGAATTGGTTTGCATCAGAAGTAACCAATCAGAACTGATCAGAACCAACCTGAACTGGTTGGAACCATCCCCTACATCAAATATTTGTTGATTGCATATCAACTATTAAAATACAATTGTTTTTAAATGTTAACTTCCCTCTATGTTATTTCTAAGCAATAAATATTGTAATTTGATGCTTATTCGATTACCCTATGTAATGCATATAGTTGCATATTGGAATTATAATAATAATATAATAAATAATAACTATAATAAATGTGATCCCCTGTGACTGGCCAATGACTGGCTAGAACTGAACTTGGCCACTAAGGTATAGGAAAACAATAAATATTTTTATAAATATATCAACAGCAAGAGGAAGGCTAGGGAGAATCTCCAACCCTTTTTGGATGTCAAGGGCAACTTGGTGACCAAGGGTCAAAATAAGGCTGAGGTATTTAATGCCTTCTTCGCCTCAGTCTTTAACAGTAAAACTTATTACTCCCTGGGAATACAGCCCCCTGTGCTGGTAGATAGGGATGGGGAACAGAATAGACCCTGCATGATCCATGATGAGATGATTTTGGACTTGCTCCAAAAGCTGGATGCTCACAAATCCATGGGGCCAGATGGATTGCACTCTAGTGTGCTGAGGGAGTTGGCAGATGTGGTTGCCTAGCCACTCTCCATCATTCTTCAGAAGTCCTGGCTAACTGGGGATGTCCCGGTGGACTGGAGACTGGCAAATGTGACACCCACCTTCAAAAAGGGCTGGAAAGATTATCCTGGCAGCTGCAGACCTATCAATCTCACCTTGGTACCGAGGAAGATTATGGAATGGATAATCTTGGGACCCATCATGGACCAATTAAAAGTCAATCACGGGATCAGACCCAGTCAGCATCTGTTTACAAACAGGTAGATCCTGTTTGACAAACCTGATTTCATTCTATGACAATGTAACCCACTTAGTGGATGAAGGTAAGGCTGTCGATGTGGTCTACCTGGACTTCAGTAAGGTCTTTGACACTGTCCACCACAACATTCTTATGGAGAAGCTGGCTGCCCATGGGTTGGATGGGCATATGCTCCACTAGGTGAAACACTGGCTGGATGGCCAGGCCCAAAGAGTTGTGGTCAATGGAATTAAATCCAGTTGGCAGCCAGTGGTGTCCCCCAAGGCTCAGAACTGTGTCTGCTTCAATTTAACATCTTTATTAACAATCTTGATGAGGGGATTGAGTGCACCCTCAGTAAGTTTGCAGACGATACCAAGTTGGATGGAAGTGTTGATCTGCCTGAGGGGAGAAGGGCACTACAGAGGGACCTGAATAGACTGGATCAAATGACCAAGACAAGCTGCATGAGTTTCAGTAGGGCCAAGTGTCAGGTTGGTCACTGTATTTTGGTCACAACAACCCCAGACAACCTTACAGGCTTGGGGAGGTGTGGCTAGAAAGCTGCCTGACAGAAACGGACCTTGGTGTACTGATGGACAGTCGGCTGAATGTGAGCCAGCAGTGTGCCCAGGTGGCCAAGAAGGCCAATGGCATCCTGGCTTGTATCAGGAATGGAGTGGTGAGCAGGACTAGTGAAGTCATCATGCCCCTGTACTCGGCATTGGTGAGGCCTGACCTCGAGTACTGTGTTCAGTTTTGGGCATTTCAATAGAGAAAGGACATTGAGGTGCTGGAGCAGGTCCAAAGAAAGGCAACATGGCTTGTGAGGAGCTTGGAGAATATGTCCTGTGAGGAGAGACTGAAGGAACTGGGGCTGTTCAGTCTGGGGAAAAGGAGGCTTAGGGAAGACCTTATTGCTCTCTTCAAATACCTGAAAGATGCTTGCAGTAAGAGCAGGGTTGGTCTCTTCTCACTGGTGACAGAGGACAGGATGAGGGGAAATGGCCTCAAGTTTTGCCAGGGTAAGTTTAGTTTGGATATTAGGAAAAAGTTCTTTACATGAAGGGTTGTTAAGCACTGGAATAGGCACCCCAGGGAGGTGGTTGAGTCACCATCCCTGGATGTGTTTAAAAGCCATTTGGATGTGGTGCTCAGGGACATGATTTAGTGGAGGGTTGTTAGTTAGGGTAGTATGGTTAGGTCATGGTTGGACTCAATGATCTTTAAGTTCTATTTCAACCTGAGTGATTATATGATTCTGATCCTATGTTCATGCGTTAAAGATTTACAGCTCCACTGTCCTGTGCTATGTCTGGAAAACAAAACAAAACAAAAATATCTGAACCAACAACAACAATAAAACCCACCATTTTAGATCCACTTTTAAAACTGTATTAGTTTTATGCTTTACAGTAAACTAGAAAACTTATTGGCAGTGCTTGATAATACTGAAAGGATGAGAAAACAATTTCAGAATACGTGTTCTGAAAATTAGCTATATATTTTAGTTAATATATAACTGATGGCCCATTAAAAAAAAAAAAAAAAAAACTTTACCTCTCATAGAAATGCAAGCTTTACATGCTACCTATTGTAGAACATGTTAAATATGGATTAATACAGTTGAAAGTGCTATCACTGGGAAATACTATTTTTCATATTCAATATTTTCAATGTATCTAGCTAAAGGATGACTTAGAAAGTTTGCTTTAATAAAGCTTAGTTTATAAATCACCATTTATTCTTTCTTTTGTATAATGGCAAAATTATTTGTAGTATATATGTACAAAAGTATGTAAACTAATATTAGTAGGCAGCTAAGAACTGGTCTGTGAGGGACCATCAGACACCTAGGTCAGCTGCAGCATTTTCTAGCAGGTTGATGGCTGTTATTCATTTCCTTCACCTTACAGTCTCAACTTTTTTGCATAGAAATAGATATAGATTCAGCTGTGGTGTTTCACATGCCCACATTGCAATACTGGTCTGTGCTGCCAGGCTCTATGTGCTCAGCCTGTGTCTGCAAATAATCCTGGCATGAAAGTCACTGTCCACATTGTAGAAATCAAATATTAATAGGTATCATGATCTCCATCATGAAAGTACACCTTCTGGTTTATTCTCTATCAATATATATTTGTTTTAGGAAAATAATTTTTGTGTTGGAGGAAAATGATGCTGGTATAGTGAGAACAAGGAGTCTGGTCATGATGGTTTTGGAAAGAGAATCCAGTCACTACTCCACAAAAAGGCTGTTGTTTAAAGCATTCCTAGGGCTTGTGATGCAAATGTTGGGGTAGAGAATGAGGTCTCAAACCAACTCCCAGCCACTGTGGCTTTTATATGAGTTTACTTCCAGCTTTTGTATTTGTGAGCCTTGTTCTGTCTGTCCTGTTCTCTTATGCAGAATATTGCCTGCTTTAAGGTTCAAAGCAAAAGTCTTAGTGATATGCCAGTAAAACTTTGTCAATTTACATATAGAAGATAACTAAAATTAGCTCCCTTTTCAGTGACCAGCAGGGCATCAGAAACGCATGTCCTGGCCTAAGAGGAGACTTGGAAATATGTGTCTTTGTAAAAGTGCAGGATGTTTCAAATCAGTCCCAAAGCACTTGCCAGATAGGCCACTTCTGGTCAACCAGCTTAATTTCAGACTTCAGAACCTGGGAACCTAATTTTTCCACCTGTGAGGGGAACAAATTTCATTCAAAAGTCAAAATATATGGAATGGATGAGCAACTTAGGGATAGGAGGAGGCTGCTAATATGTTAAAAAGTAGTATTTCTTTCCAAAGGAAAAAATAGACTGAGTTTTTTGTGTTGGAAAGATGGTAAGATACTGCAGAGATGAACGGAGACAATCTCATGGATACCAGAGATAGGTTCTGTACTGTGTGATGAGGAAATCTATGTGATGATTTGTCAGTGTAATCATTCCAAAAGGAACAGACCTTGCCTTTTCTTCCACAGGGGTAGAGTCCACAGGCGGCCTTCAAGTGCTTATGTAATAAGTGGCTTCTGTCTTCTGCGGATTCTAATGTTCATTTTCACATAAGATCATAGGAAACATTAATTCTTCAAATTTAAATGGAAAGTCTTGATATGTGGCTGTATGTTTTGTTGGAAAATGTAGTTTGAGCACTATTTTAATTTTGGGACAATAGAGATGGGTAAATTAATTAGCAACCAGGGGGAAGGACAAGAATTGTGTGTAGAACAATTGTCACTAAAAATGATTTTTTGTTTTCTCTCTTTCTGTCTTCATGTGCATGGCTCTGGTAACTGCTAAATCAGAGCATAACGCAGATTATTCCACTGAGTATGGTCTCTAATCATGACTGAAAACTGTGCAGCAAAGGGAGGCTCTACTTCCAGGGTGCTTGTGTTTCCAATTGAACTGTATTGGAAAGAGAATATTGAAGTCCAGATTTCATAGACAACTGACTGAACTAACACCCACTTTCAGTTTGTAATGTGAGTGTGAATTCAAGCACTGCAGAACTAACCTTAAAGGAAACTGCATTATAGTTTTTTAAAAGCACTTAGAGATTGGTTCATTTACAGGTTCAGGATTTGCTTGAACAAACATTCCTGTCAAAGTCAAAGCACGTATTTTACTTGTGCAGTTGTCTGTGCACACACCTTAAGGATAAGTCCATCATTTCACAAAACTAGTATTAAAAATCCAGTCTTCTGCTTTCCCAGATCTCCTTCTTATATATGTTAGATTTAAAAAATAATAATTGTGAATAATGTATGCATCATAAATTGTTTATAAAAATCTTCTGATACAGGACTTCTCCTTTCCTTCCCATTTTTCCTCAGTTGTTACCTAGATGGATACTAGCATGGGGCTGAACAACTTTCTACTTTATTCTTACCTTGTATCCAGTGGAACAAGAGTTACAACAGAATCTGCTAGCAGCTTTACTGATGTGTCTGAAATGTCCACCATCACTGCTCTATACTGAAATTTTTATTACCTATGTTTCTTTGCAGGTGCATACGTGCTCCAAGTAAAGGCAACAGATGCTGATGATCCTACCTATGGAAATAGTGCCAGAGTGGTGTACAGCATTCTTCAGGGGCAACCCTATTTCTCCATTGATCCAAAGACAGGTAAACAGTTTATCAGCAATACTAGAAGATTTAACCTTTGGATTTCAATTTGTGTTGGCAATGTCAGTGAATAAATATGGGCTATTTTGATAAGGTGAAAAGATAGTGGAGTTACATTGTACTAAATTTTGTTTTGATTGTGGACTGCTGCTTTAATGAATTGCAATCTGTTCCAGAAGCAAAAGAAGCACCCTCTTCCAAATAATCCTGGAATATCTAAAATATGTATACATTAAGGAGTTTTTCCTGATGTTTTGCCATTCGTTTACAGATAAAGATTCATCTGCTGCGTGCATTACAATTTTTTTTTTTTTTCATGATTCAGTTTTTTGTCCCAGGTCTTTATTCATTTTTTCTTGGCAATTTTAATGCACTAAAGTTACAGTCCAGATTTCCCTAGAAATGATTGTTTTACTGTATTGAGCTAATTTGAGACTGTGCAACAGCTAATCATCTCCTGTCCTCCTCTTTTCCTGGGGCATAGCATGTCTTATGTTACAGAATGTGTGAGCAGAAGAGGATGATGCATTTAAAGAGACTGATGTATTTGGGAGGTTGGTAGACCTGTTAATAAGGTATCTCGTCCTATATTTTTAAATGTCACTCTTGTTTCTATATTTAGCAGTTCAGTTAAGGAACCAATAACCTACATGGTGATTGCCAAGCATTGTGTCATCCTGAATGTGTTACAGGGATAGTTGTCCATATGCCTCTTTCAGCAAATACAGTTTCTCCTTCCAGTAAAACTGTCCTTGAATGTCAGATTGTGTGTTAAAGAGCCTCTCCCCCTGATCAATCAATAGCTTGGAGGTAAGAGCCACCTAAGGCCATTAGTGCACTATCTCCAGCAGGCACAATCTTTTGTCACATGCTCCATTTAGCAGAAGATTGTGTTGCAATTTGCAGTCAGCAACTTTACTTTTAAAACTGAAATGTGACTTCTTAAGTGTCTTGGGAGAGCTGAAAGTTTTACCTTCATACTTTTTTTTTTATTATTATTATTTCTGTCTTGTAAAGAATGAAGAGGTAGTAAATGGTGGTAAAGACAGTTACAAGCCACAACTTGACTTCTAGTGCAAGTTTCCCAGGAAAAAAAAAGCAATGATTATTAAGTAAGAACTTCACCCTGCACACCAGCACTTTAAATGGCTGTAATATCATAGAAATTTAGTGTTTCCATACCTATCTATTAATACTTGTCTTATATTAAAATATTACAATATGAGAATTATCTCTGGATTTAACAATGTCTGTAGTATAAACAGTAAGTGAATAATGATGTCTTAATTTCTTGATCGAAAATCCAGAAGTCTCAAGCACCATTATAGATCCTCAGGTATTTCCAGTGTTTTATTTTATAACTGAAGAGACAATGCAATAGTTTTTATTGCAGAGTCTTGCTGCAGAACATTTGCCTTGAGTGTTTGTGATAGAAAAAGGAAAGAAAGTCATTTTGATACAAAATGACAGACCAAACTCAGAACTACTGGAAAATGGATAAACAATTTTTTGTTGTTGTTGTTCTTTTTGTTTTGCTTTGTTTTATTTTATTATTTTTTTTTTTTTGCCATCTCTTGCTCTCTAGTGACAATTTTCAGGCACTGTGTTGTAATTATTTAAAGAACACTAGAAATCAGAACATAGGATCAGAGCAAAGGCTCATGTTACCTTTCTTCATGTTTACAAAAGTGATTGTCTGTTCAACTCTAGATAAAATAAGGCAAGAGTTTAGTCATGCATTCCCACACTATTCTCGTAGTCTCCGACAATTTCTTCTTCCGTACTTCTTCGGTGGCAAGTAATGTCCCTGTAATGGAAAACTCTGAAAGGATTTCTCTCCATTACTGGTCCACTTCCCAGTAGAATTGACATGTCCAGGTGCATCATATCTGCACACTCATTGACTGCAAAATCCACAACAAAAGTTTTCTTGGATGAAAAACCAATTCTCATTCTTTGAAATCCAACACCTCTTAACTTCTTTCTTACCTTGCACTTCTTCCATTGTGAGAGGCTGTGAACAATTCACTCCTATCAATAATTTTGAAGTTCCCCATTAAACTCTGAGGAATACTCATATCATATTCTCTCCTAGTTGTCTCTTTTTCAGAATGAAGAATTTCTCAAACATAAACCATTCCATTACACTGCTTCTTCTCCTCTGGGCTTCTCCCATTTCTGCAGCATTCTTTTCAGCATCAAAGGGTGAGAATGCACACACACTGTTCCAGAAAGCAGCTCGTGTCATCCAAAAGATGGTTTGACCATCATTTTGTTTCTTTTTTTTTTTTTATTTTTAGCTGGTAATTTTGCAGAAATTTGTATTGCTGCCTTAAAATTATATGGTAAAGTATTAGTGGTCAAATCACTGATTAAATTTTTATATGTGAAATTATGGTTATACTTGCCATGCATATAGCTTCACATATAATCCTTTGTCTAGTTATTATTGATAGATAATTTATTCTAATATGAATTTAGAAATAGTCTCTAGTGATTATGGATTTGAATGTGATAGGTGCCTTTTTGCTCATGTTTTGATGATGCTGGCTTTTTCAGCTGTCTTTAGGGCTCTGCTGCAGGGAGGCATGACTGTGTAGGAGCAGGAGAGCAAGCTTATGTTGCTCTTGCAGGAAGGTTAAATACATTACTATGTCTGCTGGAGAGCAGCTGTTGGAGCAGAGTATTCTGAGGCCTCAAACTTTATATGTGGGAGTTTATTTCCAATGCTGTAAGATTGTTCACCTGATGAAAATTGTAACAGATTTCTTTAACATGGAGCACTTCTCTTCAGACAGATGGCAGTCTTTTGTCTGTACTGTTTCGTTACTCAAACATCCTTTTCATGAACTTCTTTCTATCGAATTTTATAATGTGGTTATATGGTCAATATTCTTACATACATCTGCAGTTCTTTCTTAAGATCAGTCATTCTGGTCCGTATTCTTATCTCAGTTACATTACTGGAATCGAGATTGGTTTTGAGAGGAATATTGTCATTAATATTTATAAAAGAATTTATTCACAAAAACATATTCCTTATCGTCCACATAAGTGAGTTATCTTATTGAATTATGTCTGAGTAACACTGCAGGGCATATCTTCTTATTCAGGACCTGTGGTTATTATTATCAGTTTTCAGCAGTTTTCTTCTCTGCAAATTTGATATTTAAATTTTTAAAAGATAAAAATTAGAAGTTATTTTGTTCAGAATCTGAATGATCTTTATTGTAAAATCTTAGAAGGATTTAAAAGCACATTTTTAAACAAGTCAAGTACATGTAGGACTTCTATATTAAAATAAGCTTTTAGTTCAAAGTTTACATATTCTTTATGAAGCTGAAGGTGGAATGCCAAAGTCTGTAGTCTTCTTTCCAATGGATTTTATCTCTAATATAGTTCTCTCTCTTTTGCCTTGTCTGCATAACTTCAACTCATCTGTATCCCATCCATACAAATGGATTCTGTTAGAAATAGTGTTTTTCTTCTTTTTTCCCCAAAGCTTTTGAAAGAGAGTAGGTAGAGAAGGGAAAATTGACTATGAACTGTTAGACATGAAAATTATTCCTTCCTCCCCCAGAGGACAAAGACCTCTTACAGAAAACAAACAAACAAACAACAACAACAAAAACAAAACAGAATACTTTTATACTTTCAGACAGGAATAAATAGTGAGTAACTGGAAATTTTACTACTAGAATGATAGTAACTTCATTTTCTGAAGACTGTCAGGAAAGTTTTTAACTCAGAAAACCATCAACAGTACCTAAAGCAAGTATAATAATCAGATGACATTCATCTTCTGCTCATGACACTGCCTATTTTCAGTGCTTTTTATTATGTTTCACTGGTATAGCAAGAGAAGTCCTCAATTCTCACATTCTCTACTCCTCAGAGTGAACATACTTAAGACTTTGTAAAATATTATGGAATATACACTCTCCACAAAATAGGAATTCAGAAATTTAAGAGAAGACATATTAATGTTCATCTTATCTATAATTTTTTTTTCATGAGTATTGCCTTTCACTTTAATTATTAATGGTTCTGCAATTTACCTGATGCCTGTCACAATGCCACTCAATTTTGATGCTCAAAAATCACAAGTATGTACATGAAAATTTTTTTACAATGTTTTACAATTCAAGATTTCTGCCTTGAAATAAAAAAAAAAACACTGAACACCATCAATTGTTTTCTAATACTCAGAAGTATAGAGTTGTAATTGTTCTTAAGTATTTGCTAGTCATATTCTAGATCTACACAGTACAGTAAATGCCATGCTGAGGTGGAAAGTAGTGGGTATTGTTAACCATTGTTATTAGCAGTGGAGAGTGGAGAGAATGGAAATTGCTATACAATTTAATTTAATAGGAATTTGTAATAATTTCCATAAAAATATTTGGGTCAAAGTTATTTTTAGTTTGAGAAAAAAGTACTGTAAGCTAGCAATTCCTATTTTTACTTGTTAATATAGCAGCAGTTAGTTGACAGAAAAAAATAAGAATGAGCCTTCAAGATTTTTTCTTATCAGTCCAGATCCATTAAAACACCAAGGGTAAAAGACTACTTTTAAAGCCATGCAGGTTACTAGAAAATAGCATTTTATGAAAAAGTAATAATTTAGAGAAGAAGAGTGCATCCTTTGATATACTTTTAATTGCATATGCAACCTGCAGCTATCTCCATCTAGCTGTTTTCTGAAAAATCTATTGTTTAATCTATATCAATATGCAATGTAATACACACTTCTAAAATTTTGACAGAAAATTCATCTTCTCATATACATTTGCTTTTAAGAGATAGATTTGAGTGCCAAAAACCTTGTAGTTTTTTACAATCTCATAAACTAATCCTATAATCACTGTTGCCTCCTTCTCTCTTTCCTTTTATTTTTTTCCTTTCATTTTTTACTTCTTTATTTTATACGTTCTTAATGTATCAGAAGGGGGACTGTGAAATGTGTATTAAGAGTCATTTGAGTAAGTTTTGTTTACATTTCTTCAAGGAAAATGCTGATGTTTTCACTGCATCTTTGTGTTGTATCCAGAAAACTTTCGTGATAAAAAGAGAGTCTTCTAATAAAGACCGTTTCTTTTCTACAGAATACGTCTTGTCTTGGCCTGTTGTAGCTTCAATGTGTTGACCAATTAATAGTTTGAAGCAATGGAAGATGCAGGCTCTGAAATACATTGTCATCTGTTTACATCCCTAGTGAATGTGCAGTATTCTCTGTTGACCATTTATGTCCTACTTGAAGTGTCACAGTGGTCATTTCAATAGCTGAACAGGTGGTGCGCACACTTTTTAAATGCTCAAGTGATTTGCCTATCAGTATGTGAACTGCTCTTGTATCAATCCTTTAGAAAAAGAGACAGTCTGATCTAAGAGACCCAGCATTAAAATGTAGTAGTAGACAATTGCAGCCCTTTATTTACCCATTCTTTTTCTTTCCCATTTCTTCTCATAGGTGTGATAAGAACAGCTTTGCCAAATATGGACAGAGAAGTGAAAGAACAATATCAAGTTCTTATCCAAGCCAAGGACATGGGAGGACAACTGGGAGGACTAGCTGGAACCACAACTGTAAACATAACTCTCACGGATGTCAATGATAACCCACCCAGATTTCCTAAGAGTATGTTGTATTCCAAATGTATTAATTTTCAAATAACTATGAGTGAAAGTGAAAAATCTTTCCTTCACATTTCTAACATGCCCATTATGCAGATAATATTTTTTTTATTAAGCACTAAAACTATCTATGCTAGTTCTCATTCATAGTTCCCTGTGTGTGTGACTGCAGCCTTCATTTACATGCTTTAACATTAGTTTTTGGGGGTTTTTTGGATCTATGTCCTTCTATCCATAAAATTTCCCAAACTCTTCGTCTAGAATTGCAGTGGTCATAGGAAAGTTTTTAAACTTTATGAAGCTTGTTTTTCCTGTAACTGGAATGAATCTTACAATCTGTACAGGTGCATGTTTTTTAGCAAGTCTCCCCTTTTCTGATAATATTAATCCCTTCTCCTCACACCTTTCTCTCATCTAGGTATTAATGCTTTACCTTTCCATCTTTCTCTATCTGACTGCATGTAATGAGACAGTTTCATACTATACTTCTCAGGATATCCTTAGCTTTTTCATTTTGCCTCCCAGACTGTTTTGCCTCAAGAGCAAATATCCACTCTTACTTTATTTTGTCATGGACTACAGCCAATGTTGCCTCCTTGTCTATTGTCACATCCTGTAAGAACACTTGTGAGATGCTCCAGCTTTGGTCCACAAGCAGATCATCCAGAAAGTCTCTTTGAAACCAACATTCCTACTGCCCTTGTCCTCACCATTCATTAAACTGCCCCACCACTGCATTCTCTCTCTTTCTTTCCGCTCAAACCCCTACTCCTGGAATAGTGTCACAGATGCAAGAGGAAATAAGACATCTTCCTGGAAGTGGGAATATTCAGTGCTTTGGAAAGATATTTGGGCACAATTATCTTTACTGTGTCTAATTTCAGTTATCACTTCCTTTGCTGTCAGGGATTTTAGTCATTTTCTGTCTCATTGTATGCCTTCATCTTCTACAGGGTTTCAAAAAAACACGTAAGTCTCACATGCATCAGACAGTTTTCATGATCATGGACTACATCTTCTTTGAAGAAAGTAGCCTTGAGATTGCATCTTATCCATGCACTGTAGCAATGACATCTTTGTCCAGTCATTGCTGTGAAAAAAAGAAAAAAAAAAATCAAGGGAGACCAAGCTTTGCACATTAATGGGATTTAAAAACTTTTCCTTCTGTTACATCAAATGTCCCAAAAACTGAATCATAACAGATTCTCAACAAACAGAAGAGAATTGGAGGTTCATGTTAATATTGAATGTAATATTTAGCATGCTTGCAGGATTACAGGCTAAAACATCAGTATGGAAACTGCACTGTATTGGAACAAGCTTAACCAAAGCACGCTGTGATCTGAAACATTATCTTTTTCTGGATCTGTTGCAGACATTTATATTCTCATAAAGTAATGGCTACTTCTTAATCGGAGTAGTAAAAACAGAAGTTCCTGATCAGTGGTGATTTACTTAGACAGTTCAGTTTGTTAAACAGTATGTGAGATGATGTGTGGCGTGCCTGAAATTCACATGTGACACACAGATAGTTAGAGCTAGAAAAAAAAAAATAAAGAAAAAAAAGAAAAAAAAGAAAAAAAAGTATTAATTTTAATTTAATATGGTTATTGTAATTTTTTATTTTGCTTTTTGAAAACATTGCAACGATTTAGAGTAACTACCTGCCAGGAAAAATTGAATCATTCACTTTCCTAAAACAGCTAAAAGGATACTTGTGCAGAGTTTTATGTTGGTTGCTCAGAAAGTCGTGTCTCCTATTTATTTCCATGGAAACTATGACAGATATGAATTGCACAATGACACTATTTGATAGAATAAATTCTCAGCCACAAAACACTGTTTTTCAACGTAGTTAAGACCATTAGTTATACATTTTTGCAGTAATGAACCAGACCCTGCAAGCAGCTCTCATCAAAATTTACGCCAGTGGAGGTGATCCACTGCCACCGTTAACACTTCTGAAACACTCTACCCACCATCTCATTGTGCTCACATCTACTGATTGATCTCCAGGAACATTCAGCAAGCACTTATGGATGTCAATGGGTGCAATTTTTTTCTCGTGGAGGTATTCGGTGACACACCTTTGCTTTGTACTCACTCCTATTCATATGCCAAACTGACCATTTGTCAAACTGACCTTCTGCTGCCATCTGCCATGTGGCAACAAAATTCAACAGAATATTGGTGGGAAGGCTCAACCTCTACTGCCATACCAACAATATCTGCTTCTGGGCCAACATCTTGAGCCAACATAATAAACTAGGAGGGCACTACTTTTGGAATAAGCCTCATAAATCAGTTGAAAAATAAGCGTTTTCACTGAGGTCTATGTACATTTCATGTTCAAGCCAAGACCTAGAGAACCCTTAATGTTAACAGTGGGAAGTGATGCCTTCATCATAGGTCAACAAAGACAGAAAGTCTACATGCAGACTTAACAAGGGAACAAAATGTCCATTAACACTAACTGCTACTATGTAAATCTTTTTACATCTCATAATCAGGACTGAAATTTCCCAAAGGGCTTATACCAAGGGTGTCATGCTCTGGATTACTTTATCAAATGAGATGATATTCATTATCACAGAATAAAGCTTACATATATTTTCTGAACTCAGGTAAGCTGAAAAGATTTCACAGCAGAAGTGAGAGAACATTTATTATTAACACTTGGAGGTAGATACAGTGATAAAAAATACATTATAAGCTTACAAAAAAAACCCAAAAACCTATATCGTGGAATACTTTCATCTCATCAAGGGTCCTTTAAGGAGACAGGCAAGTTCAGGTGGGATATCAGCTTCAAGTGATGAAACACCACTCACTGACTATTCTGCTGAACATAGAATTTTTTATTTAGAACCTATAGTTTTGAACATATTCAGTAGGGAACTCCCACCTTACATGTCTCACAGCAATGAGGAGATGCTGTGTAACAAAGGGGAAACCTCTGCATATTATACATTTCTGTCAGAGTTGTTTGACCTGCAGATATCTATTGGCCCACATTTCAGAGAACTGAGACACTTCAAAATTGATATTTTCTTAATAAGTAGAAGGAAAGGTGTATTTCAAAGATTTTATTCATAGAAATTTATTTTCAAATGTGTTTTACATATGTCTTGTCCGACTCCTCATTAGCATACTGACTTTCTGCATTGCTGTGCATGTTCCATTGCTAAAGGTAGAATCATAGTATGAATTCATAGAGTCATAGAATGATGTGAGTTGGAAGGAACCTTAAAGATTATCTAGTTCCAGTTTCACTGTCGTTTGATCAATTTGCTTAAGATGTCATTGAATATGGCCTTGAACACTTTCAGGTAGGGGACATCAACAGCCTCTCTGGGTAATCTGTTCCAGTGCCACATCCTCAAAGTGTAGAATTTTTTCCTTATATCAAATCTGAATCTACATTTTTTTCATTTAAAACTGTTACCCATTTTTCTATCACTACATTCCCTAAAAAAAAATCCCTCTCCATCCTTTTGGTAGGCTCTCTTCAAGTTCTTCAAGGCCTTAGTGAGGTCTTCCTGGAAGCCTCTTCTTATCAAATAACCTCAACTCTTTCAGCTTGTCTTCATAAAAGAAGTGCTTGATTAAGGAAATGGCCTGGCAGACAAGATATTCTAATTCACTTCTGGCAACTAGTTATTTATTTTATACTAAATGAGAACTACTTACACAGGACGGGTATACAGATTCACGCAGTGATTAGGTGGTTGATTGAGTCAGACCTTGCTATGAATCACGAAGGGAGAGAAGGTTGAATCCTGCTGAATGCTACTCAACCTGATGTTATTAATTTATTTATTTTTTACCACAATGCCAAAATGCATTAAAGAAAGTTGTATCATCTTGATTTTGCATACCAAGCTGAAATATTCTAATGTATTGTCAGAAAATACTGAATAAGTCTGATTCCCATTTATCTGTGAATTTTGAGTAAACTAAAACTGCATTTCTGAGTTGATTATATATCTTGTACTCAGCTGTTTCAAGGTGTGATGGAAGATAGAAATTGAAAGGGTCCAGAAACAGTCTGCAAGTGTAAGCTGATTGTGAAACCAGCAGCCATGCAGAGATTGTTATAATTTTGGACTGTAATATCAATGAACCACTTGACTAGAACCCTAACGTCAGCAAATCACCATCTCCCCCTCCTGTGCCCTTCTCTTTCCTCCTCATCCTGTCTGCCTTTATATTAAACATTCATTCTTGTCCGCATTATCCTAGAAGAGACATAAATTAACCTTTGATCACATTTTTATCTAGTGACTAATGCATGGTAATTTCCTTCTCCTTCCCAAGTATTTGTTAGTTTTCTTTGGTTTTGTTTAGTTTTATTTTTAACTCCCTAATAATGTAGCTAATTAATTTATCCTTTGGTAAAGGGTGAATTCCTGTATTCTCAAAGCTACCTCTTCCAGATTTGAGTCTCTCCACTTTTTTCTGTACTGACATAATCAGTTGTCACTGTCCCAGATAAGCTCTTTATATTTTATTTGCGCTTGGTTTTTCCACTTCACCATTAGCACAGTGACTCTTCCTTCTGTTTCTATTTGAACCATCTATGTTTGCTGTGTGCTTGCCAACAAGTCATATAGGGCTTTTTTTCCCACTCTACCACATAATCAGTACTCCTGTAGATTTTTTTGCTTATGCTAAGAGAATAAAGTACACAATCTCATTTTCTTTCGCTCTGAAGATTTGAAGAAGGATGGAGAGTGTTAGGGAACATTTAAATCATGCATACATATCATAAGGATAGCCCCTGGAGTTTTGTTCAACATCATGTAAAAATTTCTCAGACTTATTTGGGAGTTCTGGGTCATTAGCACAGTTAAGGTGTTTTTCTCAGCAGTCCCTTTCCATGAATATGACCTATTTTGATGTGGATAAGAGAATTTAATAACATGGAAGTAGGGCATTATATACTGGCTGGCTTCTAGGCTGCCAAATATAGATGGATACATGAAATTTCTTTGTGCAGCTGTA